GTTTATTCAAGATAATACTATTAATATAATGTGACTTTTCTAGAGAATCATTACACATAGTTATTTTATACAGGGTTTCCACAGTCTTACATAATTTCAGAATTCCCTGACTTTTAACTGACTCAGGATTAGTTTTCCCTGACAAAATAAATGCAGCAACAAGACAATAATAATAACATAACAGGTCACCCATTTACCATGTTTAGCTCTATAACATTTAAATGCACCTCTTCAATGTCTAAGAGAAAAACATTTAATGAACATTTTTAATGTATGACCACTGTACAGAAGACTGCCATATGATAGCGCTTTCTAGCTTGTTTGTCGTTTTGGTAACTACATCAAAATTACCGCTAGGTGGACAAAAATCACGCCATCTGGTGGAAAATCACCCGGCTTTTTCAAATCACGCGAGAATTATACAAAACAACAAAAATGGCGCAAGCAACGCTTCTGGGTCGTTATCATCGAATGTAATTTTAAGTAATATATATATATATATTTTTTTTTTTTTTTCGATCATTGCAGTTTCCCGGTGGGTAAATGCAATGAAATTTGTACTCTCAGACAAATAAAAACTACTTGCCCCAGGAGATGGGGCGATGGTTAACATCGAGCCCTGATTTAACCAGACCAGAACCTCTACCCCTAGACCTACCTGCTTGGTTCTGTTCAGTTCGGGGTCTCCAGCCGCGCAGACGGTCGATCTCCTCCTGGTACTGGATGATGGTTTTTTCCACCTCTGAGAAGATTTCTTCAGCAGCAGCAGTTAGTCTCTGCCTGATAAACTCCCTCAGAGGCTGAACTGAACTCATTGTTGCTGCGCGGACTCGCAATGGATCCCACCACACCGAACAGCTCGATGCTAACAGAGAAGCTAACGATGCTAACCATAGATTGATGCTAACCGCTTTGTTGACTTCTACCGGAAGTCTCGAGTTGTGTTTCCGGTTTAAGCCATAGTTCCGGTTTAAGACCGCTAGAGGGCGCCGTTTCCCCTGAAAGTCATCCACAACGTGACGATTTGTAACAGATTTAAAAACAAAACGACGAAGAGCCATCTTAATAAAATAAGATTCGTTATAAGGTTTTAAATAAGAACCATCTTAATAAAACTAAAATGAATAGATAGAAACTTAAAATAAAAAAAAATACTGAAAACTTTACGGGTTAATTTGACCAAAAACACTTCGTTTTCCAACTTAATGAAATCCATTTATTCAAAGATCCACTTTGCTTATTTTCTGTTCAAGTTTTTGAGGAAGAAATAAAACCAAGGCTTTTTCTACCATCTACTTTAAAACAAGGATTTATTAAATTCATTCTCAAACCTAAAAGGAATAAACTGCTCTTTTGAATTTGTCTGCCTGGAGTTGTATTTCCTGGACGGGGCTGCCTTTTATAGCTCCTTTTTTGTATCTCTGCTTTTGTCTCCTTGAACCCCAGTCGGCCTCGGCAAATGGCCGCTCACACTGAATATTGTGATGTTATTGCTTAATAACCTGTATTAAAATGTTTTTTTTGTTGTTGTTTGTTTGTTTTTTTGTAAGTTATTGCTTAATAAACTGCATTTAAACTTTTATAATGTCACATTCACTTGATGGAACGGAGTAGTTTATCTGCCTCTCAGCCGGCAGCGGCCACCATCAGCCACTACACAGCCGCAGAAGCTGGTTTTCGTTAAATAATTAATTTTCTTTTTTAGTTATTATTCTTGCCATTTTTAGGCAAATACGTTATTTATTAATTTATATATTTTTTCTTGCCGTTTTTTGCCAAATAACTTATTTATTCACTTGTTTTTTTTTTATTTCTTTTTCTTGCCGTTTTTTGGCAAATAACTTTTTTATAGTACCTCTAAGTAGGTAGTTTTTTTTTTTTTATTGTGATGTTATTGTGATGTAACCTGCATTAAAACTTTTATAAAGTCACAATTACTAGATGGAACGAAGTAGTTCATCTGCCAATAACTGGCCTCCATAGTGGACTGCCATAGTGGCGGCCGCTGCCTGCAGAGAATGCCACCACAGTCTCTGCTGGCAGCGGCCACTATGGTGGCAGTGGCCACTATGCTGCTGCTATGGTTCCACCATGGTGGCTCTGTGGTGGGAACATAGTTGCTGCTGCCACTATGATGGCAGTCTCTGCTGGCAGCAGACACTACACTGCCACCATATTCCCCTTTATACAAAAAAAATTAATGAATAAATAAGGTATTTGCCAAAAAACGGCAAGAAGAAAATAAGTTATTTAACAAAAACTGGCTTCTGCAACCACCAAAATGGTGTCAGTAAACCTAGGAGTCACTCGGCAGCCTACTGGCAGGATAGCCGGGCTGTCATCATAGTGGTGGCGTAGTAGCCGGTTCCAATATGCTGCTACTAGAGTGGCTGAGTAGTGCCTGGTGGTGACCCCTGCCAGCAGAGCCTGCCACATGAGTAGGTGATGGTGACCGCTGCCGGCAGAGCCTGCCACCGGCGTAGCTGCGTAGTGGCTGATGGTGGCCGCTGCCGGCTAAGGCCACTTATTGGCAAATAAACTACTCCGCTCCATCAAGTAAATTATAAACATTATGACATTCTAAAAGTTTTAATGCAGTTTATTAAGCAATTACATTACAATATAAATAAAAAAAAACACTATCTAGTTGGAACTACTATAAATGGGTCATTTTCCACAAAACGGCAAGAAAAATACAAAAAAAAAAAAAAACAAAAAAAAAAAAAAAAAAAAAAAAAAAAAAAAAAAAAAAAAAAAAAAAAAAAAAAAAAAAAAAACTAAATGAAAAAATAATTTAGTGGCTGTTGCCAGTAATACACCGTGCCATTTGCCGACGAGCCACAACAAGCCACCGGATTTGCGACAGGAACTGTTGCAACGAGGCACAACGAGCCACCGGAACTGTCACCAGAACTGCAGCAACGAGCCACCGGAACTGTCACAGGAACAGCTGAAACGAGCCACAACAAGCCAACGAGCCACCGGAACTGTCACAGAAACTGCTGCAACGAGCCACCGGAGCTGCTGCAACAAGCCACAACGAGCCACCGGAACTGTCATTGGAACTGTTGTAATGCAGCCACTGCAACGAATTGAGCTCAGCCCTGCTGCTCACACTGAGCCTGGTTCTGCTAGAGGTTTCTTCCTGTTTAAAGGGAGTTTTGCTCTCCACTGTCGCTCAATGAGTCAATGCAATCAACTGGTTTTCCTTAGATAGAAAACTTTGAATCAATTTGACTGTATGATCTGGTGAACTGTAAAGTGCCTTGAGATGACATGTGTTGTGAATTGGCGATATATAAATAAACTGAAATTAATTTGGAGACCAATCAATCTGTTAAATAAAGAAGCTAAAATATTGGCCCTATTTTTGTAAAGACTCAAAAACAGACTGGCTGGGAGATGTATTACAAATCATGAATCTTCATCACAGATTCTGATAAAACGGCTTATAAGGAATATATTGTTTCTGTTGTTACATCAGTTATTCAGAGATACTGTTTTGGTTTTACAAACAATATAATAGTTATTCCAAATAAAGGAACTCTATGAAGAAAAATTATGTTTATAAATCAAGCTCTGTGTTTTTGTAAAGTTACATTTCCAGAGCAGCAGAGTTAAGTCCTGCAAAATTTGAGAATATATAATTAGGAATAGAATTCCAGATGAAGGTTGTTTTTTATATATATACATTGTGATCCAGTTAATCTTTAAGGTGTTATTTAATGCATCAAAATAAAGAAAATAAGACTTAAAGGGACAGATTTTCTTAAGTAGTGGGTTTTGTTTTTCCACATAAGACGGTGTATATTTTCTAAATAGATTTACAAGTTGTTTTATCAACATGTAGATTCTGAGGAGCATTGGGCAGACATGTGATTCACTCGAACGTTGAAAGCAGGACTTTCCCTTTCAGGTCTCTCTGCAGCCTTTCATTAAGGATTTTTTGAATAGGAGAGAAGTTTGTAACATCTCAGTTGTTTATTTTTATTGATCCTAATATCACTGTGTGCTACAGAATTTCATACAGGGATTTCATTAATCAAGGCTGGAAAAATTCACATTTGTTTCAGTTAAGGAAAAGGCCTTTTGAAAAGGACTGGAGACTTTTGTCACTGAAAAGCATCCCTGATAAAGTCAGCAGTGTCATTCGCCAATTGACATAAATATTTCTCTGTCAGCCATGACTGAACTCCCAGGCGAATTGAGTCTAATATGAAATGAAGAGCTGCACAGAAAGCAGAAATAGACTAAACTCCTGGAAGGCCATCAGTTATTGCTGTTATCAAAATCACTCCTATGAATAATAGATGAACCTGGATATTTGCACAGCCAATGCGCTAAACATTATTCTAACCTGTAAACAAAGGTTTGTTTTCAATTTGATAGTTGGGCGAGTACACATTGACTCTAATATAGGCAGAGTGAGCGGCTTCGAAGATTAGAAAAATATAGTCTTTATCACAGAGGTCAGAATTTGTGTTTTTTTTTTTACATTGCAAACACCTGCAGAGCTTTCTGCACAATGGGAAATCCATCATTTGCCTTGGGTTGTTTTTTAAGCTGCATTTCATTGTTTACAACTCTGTCCTTGATATTGTTTATCTCTGCACAGAAACTATTAATAGACTCTTTCACTGATGTGATATGTTTAGTGTGTTCTTGTACAGCCTTTTTTATATCAGAATTACTATGGGATAGGACTGTGAAAGTATCATTGCCCAAAATGCCTTAGCTGACTAACAGGAGAGTCACATGGCGTGACCGGGAGTGAAGTGAAATCTTCTTCCATCAAAACATTGTCTGGAACTGCTTCCAGATAATTGTGCATTGAGTCAATAAGGGAGTTTTTTTGTAGGAGGCACGAGGTTGGCTTTCCAGTGGGGTTAAAATTCGCATAAACAGGCTTGCTAACATGACTGATAATTAGCTTCTTAGCTTTGCTCGTTTTTGTATGTTTAAGACAGACATGGGCAAAGTGGAGTCAACAAGTCATCTCCATGTCATGTATTTGTTCTACCCAGCCACTGAAGCAGGTGAGTCCAATCTTCACCATAAGTTAACCTGTGCAGATTGGACTCACCTGGTTAATTGGCTGGGTAGATTAAATACATGACATGGAGATGACTTGTTGACTCCAGATTGCCCATGTCTGGTTTAAGACAATCAAAAGTTGTAAATTGCAGTAATTGCCGAACAGGTGCAAGTACTGTCTTTATCACTGTATTTCACATGATTGAAGTGGTTGGATTTACAGATGTACTCAAAGTGACTACTTAGGGCACCATCTTGGTCACAGCATAGCTGGATCATAGATATTATTAGTGTGACAACTGTTTATCATGATTGTTTATAGTACTAAGCCTGGTTATTTTGAAAGTGTGACATCAACTTGTTTCTTTTACTGCATTTCCACTGATTATATTGACTGCTGGCCCGATGTTTGAAGAATATGCCCCACTGGCCACAGCAGGTATAAACTTCAACAGTGCTTCTATGGGCTCATACCCAGTCTGCACAGACCAGCGCAACAATTTAATCGTCTTTTATAAAAGCGAAAGACCACTCTGAAAAAATTATTAAAGCACTAACTTACTTAAACTTAAAATACTAAGGGCTCATACTCACTAAGAGCTCATACCAATGACAGGAAACTTGTAATTGAAGTATGTAAGGATGAAAGAGCGAGTACTGGGACGCGGTTACCACATGTACCGGCTTTTCATCTCTGCTGTTTATCTTTCCTTCTAAAGTTTTTGAACAATAAAAAAACGATATTCAAACTATATAGTGAAATAATAGAAGTAGATAACCATAAAAATAGATTATAACGATTTTACAATAAATTAAGGATGCAAAAAAATTAAGGATACAAAAAAATCCACCCACAACAATTATTATTTTTATTTGTGTTAACAACAGAATCGGGTGGACGGCGTCGACATTTAAGGTATGAACCTCTGAAGGTGGAGACAGCAGGTTAGTGACCACATCTTTCTGGAAGTGGATGAACGTAAACAAGTGAGTCACTAACCTGGTCTTATAGTTCAGTCTGAGTCCAGAGGAAGCGGATTGTTCCGGCCAGCGGTTGTCACACAGCGAGTCCCAGATACTGATGTATTGGAGGTCAGAGGACAGGCAGGAGATCAGAACTAATGCAGATAAATGTAGGCAGGATAATACAGACTGTGAAGCCAAAGCTGTTGTTGAAGATGGTCGGTTTTTGAGACCCAGGAGGGCAGAGATCTGGTGAGACAATGAAGGAGAATCCAAGGCGGAGTCGGGTACCAGTTCCAGGTTCCATACGAAATGGGGCTGACAGGCTGGACAAGGGCAGGCAGACTCAGTGGTTGGGAAAGGGTTCCCCTCGGTTCACAAGCAGGCAGGGATCAGACAGGAATCTGAAGACAATTCAGGCAAACAGATCAGATGGGAACGGGCAGGCTCAGAGGTTGAGAGGTAGAACGGGTCAGGATCAGGCAGTCCAAACACAGGAACGCTAAGCTCGAAATTATCTGGCACTGATGACTGGTCTGAAGGCTGGGTAAATAGAACCTAATGCAGGGTCATCAGGTAAGCAGGTAATGAGAACTGGGCGAAGCTAAGCAGGTGTGTTAAATGAGTGATCAGACCAGGCATCAATGTCAAGATCATGACTCTTTGAGCAGACAGATGATGGCTGAGAGGCGAATGGCAGGCTTTAAGCAGGCTTTGAATAGCTGAGATGATGGCTGAACAGGCTGGAAACAGGCTTTATGCAGGCAGATGATGGCTGAACAAGCTGATACAGTAACTATCTTTGAGGAGGCTGGAGACATGTAAATCTGATTGGTGACAGGCCGAGGCTGTACAGATGAGACCAGAGTAAGACGGCAAAAAGAATCCGGTGATGGCAGGGCAAGTACAATAACACAGGAAGGTTGGTGTTGCACACATTCACTGGAGAGAACCTCACATAGGCAAGGAGGAGACAGTCTGGTGAAGACTGACAGAGAGAAGCATGTATTAATAGGCAAGATCACACCTGGGAGGAATAAGTAATCAAAGAGAAAGGTGCTTCTGCTCTTTCAAAACAACAGAGTGGAACAGAGCAGAGAGTGGTAAACAGCCGCATCACAAAAACAATTAAACAGGCAGGATGCATGACAGTGCTGCCATTCTTTAATGTGGTGATCTCTCTATGTATCATAAAGAGTAGAGGATCATCTTTCTTTGCAAGCTGGCAAAAGAGTGATGTTTTAGTACCTGCTGAGTTATTGAACTCGATCTTACCCCAGAACTATTTCTTCAGGACTGGAAAGAAAACAGCTTAAGTCTCTATTTCATGTCTTTAGTTATTCTTTTTACTACATATCTTTCAGGAGTCGGGTATCTCAAGTCTTCATCACTGGAAGGTGCTGAAAAATTAGCTTCTTCCTTTTGGGCTCTGATTGATGGCAAGTTATTTGGTCTAGAGATGGGCATCGTGGAGTCACCAAGTCATATTCATACCACATTTTGGTTCAATCAGCACAGCTGAGTTCATTGTGCAGGTTGGACTCTCCTGGTTCAGTGGTTAGGCTGAAGAAATACATACCAATACATGGTGTGGAGATAACTAGGTGACTCTACAATGCCAATCTCTGATTGGTTCACAACCGGATTTTGCCTCAAAGACTCCAGTCCTTGGATCAGTGGAGCTTATTTCTTTTCAGAAACATGTGGAGAGGCTGCGGCTGTTCCTCGGTAAGTTGGTTGGCAAACTGAAAGACAATTGAAATTTCCCCGATGGACTTGATGCTGCAACGTCCTCAGAGAGCTGCAGATAGAAAAACAGCCTGGGGGTAAATCTGCAGAACAAACAGCCTTAGACATAATAACACAATAAGAACAATAGCTGGACATGAATCAACATCACAATTTCAAAAACATCCCGTCTCTGTTTTAACATAAAAGCCTAAAAAACCCACTGGTTTAAACCTTAAGAAGACGATTAATGACAGATCAGTACAAAAAGGGAGAAAAGTGTTTTAATATATCCTCAGGAGTCTTCTGCTAACGAGTTTGGATGAAGATTACAGACCTTTACTGAGGTTATGTTATTACCAGATCATTTAAGTTCTGCTTGGTTTACAAACCTGAAACAAGTTTGATATCAGACAAAAAGTTTGTCTGCTATTTCAGATTTAAATTACAGTAACACAATATACGTGAAAATGTATGTTTTAATTGAATAAACCTTATTAGTCAAACAAACTTAATTTATAAAGGGGAAAGAGGTAAAAAAAAAAACAGTGAATTAGAATAAAAGGTCATTAGGTTGAATTAGTAAAATATATTTAAATCAATAAAACTTAATAAATAGATTTCCAAACTTGGACAAAACAATAAATATGACAAAATGAAATACATATCTGAAGAAGTAAAATAAAATAAAAACAAGCAAGAATACATATATTAAAATGTAAAACTAAATAAATAAAGGAAATTCATAGATCAGATTTGGCTTTTCTAGAGTGTAGAATTATTTATTTTATTTTTGTATGTTTCTGTAAACAGCGAACCTGTGAACCTTTAGACCTGTTTTCTATTCAAAACGGATCTAGGACCTTAATGAGAGCATTAAGCTGTGATTCACCGGCTGACATGTTGTAACTGTTTGTTATCCTGCTCTTCATCTGCCCTCTTTGCTGTAATTAGGCTAAGCTGTGAGCGGCGCCCCCCTGGGACTTCCTGCTCTAAAAACACTCAGGTTGGGGAGGGGGAAAAAGTTTGTTCCTGAAATTCCTTCTCCAGTTCAATCTGTTTTGTCATTTCAGTTTATTTTAGGGAAAACATCTGTCTATTAGTCCATCTGTCTGCCCATGTCAATGATTCTGAGAATGTTTGATATAAAAATTTGGCAGTACAAATAAAAATATTTGCATCACAAAGTTTTTAAATGTTTGAAATAAAATCAAAAAGTCCAATAAGCTTAATTTTACCTCCATTAAAATAAGATTGATCCTACATATAAATAAATATTAATATATTATTAATAATTAATGTTATTTCTAAAACTTTTCTGATTCTGACTTCCATTTCAATGAAAACTAAACGTGACCTCAGACCAAAAACTACTGATGTTGAGGTTTACTGAGCTGCAGCAATGAAGAGGCAACTGAATAAATCCAGGTCCGTTTGTTCAGGAGTGGCTGAATCCAGATCCGTTTTGCTGCTTCTTAACGACATGTGTAAACAGGGTAATGCTGAGTTAAACTGTTGCTCCTCCGGGAGAGCAGGTTGTTGTGGATGAAACCCTCAGATGGAAACAACAGGCTGCAGCTGAGACACCGTGATCAGAAAGAAGCTGGAGAACAAGAAGAAGCAGACAGCAAGGAGGTTGAGGAGATGGCTGGAGAAGGAAGACAGAGCTCTGGTCTGCAGGACATCCTGAGAGGCTACTGTGATGGAGCTCAGAGGACAAAGAGCAACATGATACGAGTATTCGTCAGCTCCACCTTTACAGGTCAGTTTCTGTTAGTTTGAGTTCAGATTGCAGTCTCAGTCTGCAGAAACTCCATGTAGAACCTTATTCTGGTCTGCAGAAACAGGTTCTATATGGAGTTTTACTCTACAGCTTTTTAAAAGGTACAAATAAAGCAAACTGTGAAGAAATTCTGCAGCATCATGGAGGAGGTTCTCAGTCAGTCTTGAAGCAGTTCAACATGGGAACCTCTCACTCTGTGGTCTCAGAGATCAGAGAAAGTCTGAGGAACTTAGGTTTACTTAAGTATGATCTGGTGAACATAAATTATTTGTAAAGCATCTATTCAGCATCACATTTAATCTCAAGGCACCGGATAAGGTGTTATAAGGAGATTAGAAAGTAGCTTCTCCATATTTGTAGTGATGACCCTTTAAAAAGTAATTTGCTCTGCCAGCTGCGTTTGCAAGATTAAGTTTTGCATTTGTTCTCTGATCTGGAGACCACAGATAATTTTCTTGTCAAATAAGACTGAGGATTTTTTTTTATATACCAGTCAGTTCATGCAAATATTCTACTCTGATAGGTTTGAAGTTTCTATCTAAGGGAACCCTTTTACTTGCAGATTTGTCTCTTTTTGAAAGAGCATGTTGTTACAGTGGATTGTGTCATTTAATACAGCTATATAGATTAGCTACCATGGTTAGTTTCACCAAGCAAAAGTTCTCCAACATTAACTGGGTTTGTTCCAAGTCTTCACCAGAAAACCAGTTAAATGACATGAAATCTGTTATAAATGGAACGTTTTTGGTTTTCACTGATTTCTGAGGTAGACATAATGAACTGCTTTTTAATTTCTGTGCAGATATGAGCGGCGAGAGGAAAGCTCTGCTGGAGAGAGCTTACCCAGAGGTCCAGTCCTTCTGTCGCAGTCTGGGACTGGTCTTTGAGGTCAGTTAAAACCTGCAGCACTGTGATCAGTGGTGCTAAATGCCCCGGCCAACCCACTTGCCAGTGTAAATTGCCGTGGCATCAGTGTAGAATTTCATCCCATTATGCACAGCCAACGAGGTAACATTAAAAATCAAACAATAAACCAAGATATGAGTAGATTTTTACTTAAGTCTTCATGGTTTGTACAGGCAGGTTTACCACAATAGTAGGTTCAAACCCTGAAATTATGGCTTTTAGTTTCAGTGTGCCAACTCAAGATTTTCAGTGGTCCCATCTGGCAACCCCTATGAAACGATTCTGGAGGCGCCACTGGCTGTGATGTTTCACACCAATGACCAGAGCAAGAAAATAACAACTTAAGTTTGTTCCTTAAAGGCAACCTGTGTGTTCCTCCTAAACTCTGTGAATTAACTTCCTGTAGTTTGTTAAAACTTTATAGTGAATTTATTTCTTGAAGAGAGAGAAACTTCACAAGCTGATGAAATTCAATATCGAAACATGGGATACTTGAAGTCACATTTACTCCTTCTGTGTGCGATCTGCATCTTTTGAGTTATTGTAATCCCTGATCAGAAAGTGACTTCACTTCCTGTCTAGGTGGTGGATCTAAACTGGGGGATTCAGAACATCCTGTTTGGAGACCATGAAGACTGTGAGATCTCCCTGCAGGAGATCCAGAGCTGTAAAAGAGTTTCTGCTGGTCCAGCCTTTGTGGTGAGTGCTGGATGTTCTTCATGGTCTCCACCTTAACCTGACAAGTTTTGGTTTTGGTGTAACAATGTAACCGTGCTTAACAGCTTGAATGAGATGAACCCATCTACCTCCTTTATTGGCATGTTCTCCAAACACCCCTTAGAAAAGTTGCAGCAGTAAATTATTGCTGCCTTAAACTTTCAAGCTTTCTGACTTTGAAATAACATTTTCCTTTTTTTTTATCTTCTTCCTGTTTCCTCATGTCTGGGTCATGAAGGGCCTGCTGGGGAACAGGTATGGCCACCGAGCACTTCCCCATTTCATCCCAGAAAAGCAGTTTGAGATCCTTCTTTCTAAGCTTTACAAAAACCCGGAAGGTGTTCAGCAACTGCAAGAGTGGTTTCTGAAGGACAACAACTCTGTTCCACCCACTTACATCCTCCAACCAGTCACTGCTCGATATCCACACTATAGTGATCTCCGACCTGAGGTTGAGAAGCTGCATGACAACGATCTTCTGTCCTGGCGCTTCACTGAAAGTCAGCTGTTGAAGCTGCTGCGCACTGCAGCCACTGAGGCTGAGGATGCTGGAGACATCACAGCTGAGCAAAAACAACTCTTCTACTCATCAGGTAAGAGTATAGACACATCTCTCAACTTTTCCTTTTTGTTTAGCAAGACTAACTTCTTCTGCTTCTTATTCAGTCACTGAAAGAGAGTTCCATGAGGGCTTTTGGAGGAACGGCCGGAAATCGTCGGCTTTGCTCTTTGTCCGGGAGATCCCCCGACAGAGGATAAAGGAGAGACCCAAACGTCTGGCCAAGCTCATGGACCTCACTTTGGACGGGCTACTGGATGCTGAAGCTCAGGAACTCCTTATCGGGCTCAAATCACGTTTGTATGACACTTCTAAGAAGGTCCTCAATCTGCACTGTGTAGAGTTAAGCAAAGGACGCATTGATCCAAAGCGCAAGGAGCATGCTGAGTACCTGGATAACATCTGTCAGCAGTTTGTCTCCCAGATGACAACCCAAATCGGAGTGGAAGTTGGCTCAGTGGATGGTGGGAGGAAGAGGAAGATCTGGGGGAGCACAGAGAAAGAGGAAGAAGAATATGATTGGCTGGTTGAAGAGGTGAGGCAGCATTCTACAATGGCCTCTGAGTTGAGCAAAGGTGTCAATGGCAGAGATGGGCTTCTGGGAAAGATTAGCGTCACCTTGTGGGAGTCAACCACAGCCAATCATGGCTTGCTGGTGATCCACGGTGCTGCTGGGATGGGAAAAACCACTCTCGTGTGCAAACTGGCGCAGGAGATGCAAGGCGTCCTGGAGGCCAAGGTGGTGCTGGTGATCAGACTGCTGGCTGCTAATCACCCACACAGACCCAACATCAACCATGTTCTCCACAGCATCTGCCTACAGGTGTGTCTAGCGTGTGGCCTGGCTCCACCCTCTCTGCTTTCAGTCAGCTCTCACCTGGAGCTGCAACATTTCTTCAAGACCATGCTGGAGGACGTCTCTCAGCAGGGACAGACTCTGCTCGTCATCTTAGACTCTCTGGAGCAGCTTGCAGATGAACATCAGGCTCACAAACTGCACTGGCTACCAACAGATATCCCTCCCAACGTTCACCTTCTTGTCTCTATGGACACCACCAGTGAGGCGTTTGCTAACCTTCGGCTGAAGCTTGGTGCTGCTGGGTGTCTCTTTGAGGTGGACCATCTGTCTCGTGATGAAGGGGAACAGATTATAGAGTCCTATCTGAAAGCGTTTCAGCGGACGTTGACCCGCCAGCAGAAAGAAGCTGTGCTGCAGAACTTCAAGGCCACTGGCTCTCCTCTCCACCTTAAACTCCTCCTTTCCACCGCCAAACGCTGGACTTCCTTCACACCACCATCAGATCTGTTGCTGGGCAGCAGCATACAGGAAGTGATGTCAAGCCGCCTCCTAAAACTGGAGGACAAACATGGAAAGAAACTGGTGGGCGGGGCCTTGGGATACATTGTATCAGCCAGGTGAGGTTGAGGTTTATGTCTGGGAAACAATAAGGGAGTTTATGTCAGTTTGACAATATGTTGAGCAGTATGATGTTGTGAGGAGCCTCAAAAAAAGAAAATCTGCCGGTTTTATCTTAAGTGGTCAATATATTATAATTATATTCTTTTGTCAGATGACAGGAACTGATTTTAAGCACTACCTGTAGGTTCTCCATATCCCCTCTGGTCTCAGAGGACCTCAGGGCCTCTGGAGTGGGCAAAGGGTTTGGATTACCCTCCTTGACTTTAAACCATAGATGGACAGGAAGGTTGCTATCACATTATCTCTTGGTGACCCATTAAATCTAGACATGCCTTACTCTCTATGCTACAGGAGAGGCCTGTTGGAGGCAGAACTGCGTGATGTCATGTCCCTGGATGATGATATCATCTGTGAGGTATACAGGTATTCCCTCCCTCCGACCCCTTCGTTGATCCGGCTGCCCCCAATATTGTGGGCCCGGCTCAAGTGGGACCTCAATGACCAGCTCGAGGAGCGTTGGACTGACGGAGTTGCTGTCATTGCCTTCCGTAGCCGGTAAACTGATTATCAGATATTGGACCTCTATTGGAACTAAGTAAAACTCAAGATGTTGAGAATCTAGGAGATGTGAGCTGATGATGCAGAGTTCCCACAGCTGAATTAACTTCTGGTCCTCATTGAGATTGTTAGGTTGATCTGATCTAACTTGCTGTTTCCTTTTTGGTTGATTGATCAGGGTCATGGTTCTTAATGAAGCTCTACAGTTTCAATTCAATTCCGTTTATTTATACAGAGCCAATTCAGGATATTTTCTATCTCAAGGCACTTTACAGAGATGATTCAATGAGCTCATGCAGTCAATTAGGTTGAAAGTTGTCTATCTTAGGAAAACCAGTTTGCATTGACATTCAGGACTTGCTCCTCCTGGATGAGCATGTGGCCGTAGAGGACATTTGCCTGCATCTTGTCCTACAATACTTCATCCACACTGGATGAAGAGCCAGAAAATAATATTCTTTACTTCCTCAGTTGTTCTTGTTTCCCAAGGGCAAAGTAGAGTATTGGTATTATAACTAGGCAGTGTTACACATCACAGATGGCATCAGAAGCCAACAAGAAAAAGTCAAAACTTGTCACTTAGCATTGCAGCTAAAGCTCGAGATTCCTAGCGAAGTACGCAATCCTTCTCATTTGAATCTATCTCTCATTGGATGAGCAAAAGGGGACTTTTGGGTTATTCTGTTCTACTTTTTACTAAAACCATTTCTGTTTAGGCTTCTCTCTGAGATAGTAAAAGCCCGCTATCTCACACCAGAGAGACGGGGGCGGACTCACAGGATCCTGGCAGAGTATTTCCTGGGTTGCTGGTCTGGTAAACTGAAGCCTGCGTCTCTGCCGGGTCTGACACTGCTGCTGTCAGACAGGAAGGTACCAGGATTCCTCTAGCAGCGATCAGGAGAAATCATAATGTGGTTACGTTGAATAAACAAAGTGTCTGTCTGATTTAATGCATTTCCTTTGATAGCAGTTTACAAATGTTTGGCTGATTTTTGATTGGCTCTCCCCTTTTAAAGGTCCCACCCCAGCCATTGTGGTTCGTTGCAGGATTGGCTAACGTTAGAAAGCTCCAAGAGTTGCCTCATCACTTGCTGCATGCTGGTCTGTGGGAAGAACTACGGCAGGAAGTAGTCGGTAAGACTAAGGGTCATGCTGATTATTATTTTGAGTAAGTCCAGATGTATTTGGTGGTCGATAACCGCAACACAGAAGTACTGGTTTCATTGAGGCAGATGATCTTGCAACCATAACAATTTATTGTTAAATGTCATCAGATCAGTTCTAATTTTGCTGGTAGGTGATTCTGAGTATTAGAGTGCAACTCTAACTACCTAATTCAATTCTATAATTTCTGTAGATGATATACCCTTCAATAAATAGTTTAGTATCATCAAAAGAAATTGTATTTCTGATACTGTTTGTGTTAATATATACCGTAGACGTAGTCTTAAAAACACAATCTTTGGAGTTTTGGAGGAAGGTGAAACCTCAGAGTTAGGCTTGCTAGATTGGTAGAGCAATGAAACCCAATGTTAATCGTGGGGGGAAAATTGCCAAGGGAAAGAACATAGGTGATAAAGAGAAGAGGTCCCAGGACAGAGCCCTAAGGTCCACCAGAAGTTATGAGGAGGAAGAGGAACTGAAGGATTGGAGTTGGACAGACTGAGAGTAACCACTAAGATGGGAATAAAACCAACCTAAGGGGGTGGGAGTAAAGCAAATCCAAGATAAGCTGTTAGTATGGTATCAAAGGCCACACTCAGATAACAAGTGGATTGAAGTTCTAACTCTATGACTGAAATTATATAAAGTTTATTTCCATCTGGGAGGTTTTTGTCATCAGGTTCTCCCTCATAAACTCCCAGCCTGTTACTCCATTTTATCCAGTGTCTCTGTGGTTCTGTGTGTGCAGGCAGTGCTGAGTGGCTGTACTGTAAGAGCCGAGTCTGTGGAGTGTCCAGCTTGATCAGCGACCTGGACCAGTGCTTCAGATACATGGACTGCTCTGAAACCAGACTGGTCCATGATGCTCTGGTCCTGATGAAGCCCAGCCTAGATGTCCTGTCGGGTCACATGGGTTGGTATGGATGAACTGGAACATTTGGGCCCGTCGGCCCTGGATCTGATGTGATGTTTCTCTGATTATAGACCAGTCTCTGTTTTACTCGGAGCTGCTGGCCCGACTCTCCTCACTGTCCTCCACCTTCAAGTCTGTGATTGGTCAGATCTGCAGCCAGTGCGACGACTGGCTCCAATCGTGTCTAGAACCAGTTCTGATACCAAAGAGCAGCTTCTTGCAGCAGCCAGGGGGGGCGCTGCAGCACACACTGACTACACAACACGGAGGTCAGAGCTGTGAGAGATGAAAGATTAGGCCCAGACTGGGTAGGCCCGTATTCTGGTTCTGCTCCCAGAGTCGTTGTGTGTCACTGTTTTCAGGCGTGCTCTGTTTGGACATCAGTGTGGCACTGCAGCTGCTGGTCACTGGTTCAGCTGACGGCATGGTGGCGGTCTGGGACCTCAGTGACAGACAGCTCGTTCATGCTCTGCAGGGACCTACAGGTGAGTCTAAACTGTTGTGTGGAGAGGATTTAAAACTGTTCAAAGACTTCATCAATACTTCACAGCTCGGACATTAACACAACTGTGTTCTTTTGTTTGCTCCCTAGTGGCCATTGTGTCTGTGAAGATCATAGAAAGCTCCACCCACTGTCTCTCATTGGCTGCAGATGGCTCCCTGAAGAGGTGGAGCTTGAAGAGTGGCCAAGAGCTCCACTGCATCCAAGAGGCGGGACCTGCTGGGTCCGCCCCCTCTTCAGTCCAACTGCAGGTGTCAGAGCTGTTTGTTTACACCTGGACCTGGACGCAGGTAGGCAGCTGGCCGAGTCTGATCAGCCAGATCAGTTCCAGCTTTATGTGTTTTTAAAATATTCTGGACCTGTGGTGTGTTTGTGTCTTTAGCATTTGTCTCTATTCCAGGTCAGCCTGCTGTCTCCTTGCTGTCAGCAGGTCTTCTCCTCAAATGTTTGTGTTTCTTTGTGTGTCCTGATAAATGTTTTGAAATTTTTACATCTCCTGGTTCTGTTTTCAGCTTATTATTCTGTTTTTTTGTGTTAAATTGCTGTTTTAGGTCATTATGAATTTAGTTTTAGGCATTTGGGATCTCTCTGGAGAACAATTAGACCTTTTTTCCACAGGTTTATCTTTCTCAGCTGTGGCTTAGCGCCTCTATGCCTGTTGGACCTGGTCCTGACCAGCCCAGGTGTGTTTCCTCAGAATGTGACAGCTGTGATCTTGTTGCAGGTGAAGGTTTGGAGGCCGGATGGATCAGAGATCCAGCTCTGCAACAGCGAGGATGCCTCGCTGATTTTGGGGGTTCTGGGGGATTCTGTGGTGTTTCTGTCAGACTCAAATCGGGTCAAAACATTTGACCTGGTTACTGGCACCCAGACTGTGGTAAAGCTGACTCGAAGCCTGACACCAGTGAAGGCGGCGGTGGCGCCTAAACAGGGGAAGGTGTTTGTGGTGTCGGAGGACGGATTCCTGCATCAGGGGAGTTTTCGTAATTAATGCAACTCTTTAAAGAGGTCATAGAATGATTCTATAGTGTATTTGGTCCTGGTCCTTAAGGTCTCTGAATAGGCCGTGTAACACTGTGAATGGCATATTTGCTGTTCTATAAGCCCTAATGCAAGCCTGGTTATAAGCCATGGAATGAAACTACAGGTTTGCTTCCATTTATGGTATGCTGATGAACATTTAGATGAGCTGTGCGCTGATTCGTTGGTTTACAACAAGCGAAGCTGCTGAGCAAAGACGCATCATAGCAACAAGCACTCACTGACCAGACGTGATATTTTTCCCGGACATGTCCTACTTTTCATACCTAAAACAATGTCCAGGGGGGATTTGAAAAAAATTTCCAGAATTTTGGTGAAATACAGTGCAGCAGAACCAAGCCGTCAGCTCCAGGGCTGGTCCGGGAAGGAGCCAGTCGGGGACGGAGCTACCGAACCCGACCCGGTGACAGTATGCTTCCCCCCGCCTGCCTTACCGTACCAGGGAGAAGCAGGGTCCCTGGCTGGCTCACTGCCGCCGTCCGCCTGGGTTCCTGGACCAGCCCTGGAGCCCAGCAAATTAATCCCCAGATAGTAATAAACACACATGAAACTGAAATAATTCAAATTAGTTTATTTACAACACACTTCATCTCAAGACAATTTACAAAAAAACAGTTTAATCAAAGAAAAAAATAATGTTTTAACATGAATAAACCTCAATTTGAATCTACACAATTGTTCATGACAATGAATAGGCAAACATAAATCTATCTATACACAATAAAGCATAAACCAAAAGAAAGTATTTTTGAATACTACTAAAGCACTACTACTACTAATAATAATAATAATAATTTAAAACATGCTCTGATGAATGCCTTTACAGCCTCAATCACTGTTAATGCTGTTATACTGTTTATACATACATTTTATAGTCTATTTATACATACCCTCTGTACACTTGTAATGCATATTTATATCCTGTATAGCACTTCTGGATAGATGCTAACTGCATTTCGTTGCTTGTACTTGTGACAGTGCAATGACAATAAAGTTGAATTCTATTCTATTCTATTCTTATAAGATAAAACAAGTGTTAGAGGTTCTTTATGGCTATTTTAATGTTTGAGGCAGTATTAAAAATGATCACAGATGGGATTAACAGGATTCAGCTGTAGAATTATTCATGTTAAGTTTAAATTTTCCATCCCAGCTTACAGTACAAACAGCTGAAGGTGTTTACTGTAACCATGGGAACATGATCTTTCTGTCTGCAGATCTCCAGGTCAGGAAGTCAAAATGTCACCAAGTTCCCTCCACATCCCTCTCTGGTCTCAGTTTCTGAGGATGAGAAAATCCTTTATGCAGGTAGCCACCACAGAAACCAGACTGGTTCTGAATCAGGAAGAAGTCCTGCAGATAAACTGGTTCAAATTGGATCGAAACCTGAATCTTTTCTGCTGTTTATCTGTTGTCTTCAGGCTGTGAAAGGACTCTGAGTCTGTTCAACATCTCAGGTGTCTCTGCGGAAAGCTTCCTGGACCTGCAGCACGATGACGTGGTTTTATCAGCCTGCGTGTCCTCAGACTGCAGACACGTCGTCTCTGGAGCTGCAGACCAGCTGATCCGAGTGAGAATCAAACACAGCGATCAGTTTTTTTTTACTCTTCATACAGCAACAGGTGCAGCCATTTCTATACACCAGTTTAAAAAATCAAGAATATTTTTTTATTTTAAAAACCATAACAAAGTTTCATATACAGACAAAAATTAAAAAAACGAAGAAACAGCAGAAAATCTTTGAAACCGCTAGAGCCCTTGTACTCTGCAAAACATTTAGATCTAGATAAGTAGCTTTTTCCTGAAATAATTTAATTTGTCATTCATTTGAGCAGGCAAGTTACATAGTTTTCCAATGGAATAAGATAATACACATTTAGAATAAGAAAAATAGTTATAGCAACAATATATATATATATATATATATATATATATATATATATATATATATATATATATATATATAAATTTTGATCGATTTGCCGATACATGATGATGATATGTGATTTTCAGCTGCCTGATATGATATCGATTTTTCAGTTCCTCATATCGGCTTGAAAACAAGGCAAACATTTTCCTAAAACCATGAGGAGAAAACGTGCTACTTCTGCTCTGCCAGTTTTGGAGACAGTGGAGCCCTTTTTACTGTGCAGCGTCAGTGCTATATATGTACGTAGTTGAAGCAGTCACAGGGGAAGAGGTTAACTGACTCTAACCCCAAAGAACATGGATACCAAATGAACTAAATGATCAATATGTTCTGATGAACATACCCAGTACACACTTTTTTAGCTCTACATTTAATTTTGATAGCTGGTAAAAAATATCCCAATATATAGTGATATTGAAATATCGTGATGATATCATGACCAAAGTATCATGACTCATATCGTATCATAACACTCATGCAAATACTCACCCATATATATATATATATATATATAT